GACTTTGTATGCTGGCGATTAGGTGCCTGACTCTGAGTGTGGGTTCGAATCCCGGATGGGACTCAACCTAACAAAAATACTAGAGACTGTACTTTACTGAGAAAATATAATCCCAAATATATCTTATGTTACATCTGACCACTTTCTAAATGGCATTGTGTATTTGTGGACATTAGACATGATTCGGTGCCGTCTGATCTCTATATTTATGTTCAGATGGGCATTTTTCATTGCTGTTCTGTAAGTGCATTTGGAAGCTGGTATGATGAAAATGTGTTCCTCTTCAAAATTTGTAAAATATACACAGGAGGAATCCCATTAAATAATGCAAACTCAAATCCTTAGCTTCTTTTAATAATTTATTGTTTTTCAGGGGCATTTCTTCAGTTATCTAGAAACACGTCATGTTTAGTGAGAGGGCTTCAGACAGTTCTCATGGCTTGAATATAAAAAAATTGTAATTCGCTTTTAAGAACAACCAGGTTCGTATGAATGTGAAAAGGGTCTCATCAATATTTCATGGACAAGAAGCCTTTCACGGGACAAAAACATGTACTGTGTCAATGGCAAATCCCTCAACTTGAAGTGCAATTGACATGTCGACTCACAAGATGTCGTGATGCTATCATCAATCAATATATGAAATCCCTTAAGCCCTTCCTAACACTGTAAAATATTGTGAACTTTGACAGAAAGAAGATGCTGTCAATTTTTATTTCATACATTCTGTCCAGCTTCGTACCCACGAGACCTGCTTACTTATTACCAGTTCACGGTAATTCTCTAGACGCCCACTCCATATGACGTTTAGGTAATTGAATGGGAAATGTTGTTCAATTTATGCGATGATAACTTTCGGTTTAACGCGAATTAGATGGGTAATATCGAGTCTATTTATTAAAGCTATCAGGTATATGTTGGAGCTGCATAAAAGCTGCATAATCAGCGTTACAACAGTCAAGTCCAAGTAAACCTTTAAGTTTTCTTAAGGTAGATAAGTGGTACAAATTTGATATGTCAGTAACCCAAATATTACCACTCACTCACTCAATACTGATACCTAAATGCCCCTGATATATTTTTCCCCTTTGGGTACAAGCAGAGCAATGTATATATTTTGTTCAGATCTCTGATACTCTAACACTTCACAAGTTGTCAATATATTTCATTTTGCCTTCCGCAAAATGTACTGGTTGCTCTTCTATTTCGTTGTTAGCTGTTTTTTGCCACATTCAGCAATATTCTAGGTTATGACGAAAGTCTGTCAAACAATATAGTAAATAACAGTGTACGTATCGGCCGTTGCGTTGAGGATACCATGGCGTGCTTCAATGCAGCCGAATTCTTACCCCGATCAACTTGGTGTCCTCTGTATCCAATTGTGACGTCATCATTTATGCGATGCTGACAGTGCTTTGGTTTTCTACGATTACCCACTCGGACAGTATTTGTTGTTTATACATCAATACATTTTAGTAAAAGTGAAACATTTCATTGATAAAAAATATCACCATATTAGTTTAGCACGTTAGTTTGTTTAATGGCGAGTGTCGGTGTTCGACAACTGACAGAACATTTGACTTTTATTGTTTCATTCACTCTCTGGGGCTACAGGGCAGCTTAGTTTGTACAGTGCATGCTCGTCACATCAAAACTCCTTATGGATGTCATGTGTAAAGTCCGTTTCTGGTCTCCCCTTCGTGATATTGATGACCTTTGACCTATGACCTATGGTAACAGCAGCCTGAAACCACACTTTCACTGATGCCAAGGAGTTTGCTTAAACTTCAGTAAGTATAGGAAGGGTATGATATTGTTTGTTTGTTGTTTAACGCCGCACTCAGCAATTTTGTAGCTATATGACAGACGTCTTTAAATAATTGTGTCTGGACCTGACAATCCAGTGATCAACGTCATGAGCATCGATCTACGCAATTGTAATAAGATGACAGGTATTAACAAAGTCAGCGAGCTTGAGTCGCCTCTTACAAGCATGGGCTGCTGAAGACAAATTCTAACCCGGAGCCTCAATGGTTAGAAATGATACAAAACTACCGCTATTTCCGTGTTTTAATAATATACTGGGTAAATGAGTATGTTTTTTAGGCCGCATTCAGCACAATTCCACCAAATATCACGGCTAGGGACACCAGAAATGTTGAGTGTACGGTATGACGAGCGAACATATTACCCAACCACCCCGAAGAAGATATGGAACAAGTCTCACTCACGTACAAACAATTACCCGCTTTGTAGGGATTATTAGACCAATATAAAAAATCACTCCATTTAAATAATTAAATCGTACTTTGCAGCAATATGACACTTACATGGTAATTATTGGCATAAAAAGTAAATGGTTGCCATGGTATTACCATTCCCTTTCTGACCCTGGCATCTGGCCCTCTCCCTCCGCTTTTCCGTCTCCCCCACACAATCTATCACAAATTCGTTTAAATTGGTCTGTCTTCCTTTCATTTCAGAGATATATGTGTACGGTAGTTATTTATGACTTCAATCCCTACTGCGGTGAAGGAAATGAAAATGGACGTATATTGTTACCAAATGACATGAACCATTAGCTGCTTCCATCTTCACAATAAATATGTTCATTTGAGACACGCAGTCAGGGACAATAAGATCCATGGTCTTGTTTGGGTGATATGGGCTGCAACATTACTTCAGAGAGGTTCTAGGTTAAAAGGCTTCAGACTACTTCCACGAGGGCAACTGAAACTAAGGCACACTTACATATTTCGATTTACCTCATATCTATGGTTTTAAAACCATTAGTCTACTGCCTCATCAAGAAAGCTATTACCTTCGCTGTTAAAAACTTAGTCAGTAAGAGTGAGTGAGTGAGTTAGTTTTACGCCCCTTTTAGCAATATTCCAGCAATATCAATGCGGGGGACACCAGAAATGGGCTTCACACATTGTACCCCTGTGGGAAATCGAACCCGGGTCTTCGGAGTGACGAGCGAACGCTTTAACCACTAGGCTACCCTTGCGTGTGCGTGTATTTGTGTTTGTGTGTGTGTGTGTATTCTTTGTTCTTCCAAGCTGTAATTAATTCATATCACAAATTTATAACAGAATGGTTTCAACACTCATGAGAGACGCCCATTGTATGGACTCACATGGTGAGTCGTCCATCCTCCATAATTATGTAAATAGTATTGTTATAGCCCATTTCTAAATTGTATATAATATTGTGACAGCCTCTGTTCTTAATTGTGAAAAAGGAAAAAAACAACATTGTGATGTTAAAAAGTGTACATAAAAACTTGCTTTGGAATGTAACTTTGTGTCATTATAAATGTCTGTATACGTCTAAACTTGGCCTCGTCGCTATATGGCTAAAACAATGTCGATGCGGAGTAAAGTTTAACTGACTGACTCACTCACTCACTCACCCATATTTATCTTTTGTATATGTCTATTTGCATTGCCTCAGTACTGGCAGTTGAGATTCTTCCTGATAGTACATTGTCTGATACAGACAATACATGGTAGCGGGAAACAGCATCTGGTCGAGTATCTAAATGGAGCCTGTAAGCATGGAAAGTAAACTGTAAACCTTCCTTAAATGGACAAGTTTACTATTTTCTTACCCCTTCTGTTTTTGTTTATACCACTTATCAATATGGATGGGAACTACTGTTTACATAATACAAAGGAACATTTTTCTAATCACACAGGGAAACTTTTTATGAGTGATTCGGAACCCGTGAGTGCCACGTTTTAATTTCTTCCACACGCACACTGCAAATTTAGTAAATTTTAATGTACGTTTTTGCTAGAAACCTTTTCATTGTCTTGGAAGACGCTGTCACATTCCGAAATTTCTATAAAGATCAAGCTTGCCATGCTCGTCATGAAGCTCCTCACAACGATAGCACATACCTACATTTCTCTATGCTATCGCTCCAACCAGTCACAGCTCTCTACAGCGCTTTGTGACATGGAGTTAACCACCTGACAGATTTGAATTTTGTTTACCAACAGATGAGGAATGTCCCCACTTCCCCAGGTTATTTTCAAATATTAACATATTATGTACGTTTAGTGAGAATGTACAGGGTAAGATGGTTGCACTTTGTAATATAGAACCAAGCTAATTAAACAACTAAAAGTGATAAATTTTAGAAATGAAAGCCTTGAAACCTTTCCCAATTTACGAGAGAGAGCCATTCAGCTCAAAAACAGTGATGTCACTTTCTCCTATTTCATAACGGACTATCCACTATGCTTATATGTCCCCCTTGCTCAGTTGTGGTCGCGATAGCACCGACAGCGTAATGATAGTGTCATTTGCTGAGACAGGCCTTGGTTTGTCAACAACCAAAGATGGTTAAACCAATTACATTTCCTGTCACAATATGTCCACAAGTGCACTCGTCACTTTAACAGCTCTTATATTCGTTGCTGCCACGCAATACAAACAAACACTCGATTCCTCCTGATATCAACTCCCACATCAATTGAACTCCACTCCTGCTATATGAAATGAAATGCACGGCAAGTCAAGTCTTCATTTGAAAAAACAAACATCGGAACATATGTCACAAGTGCAATTTGGGAATTGAATTGCTCATTGATGCGTCAAACCTTGAAATGTCCTCATCCTAGTGTCTACCATAAAACCTTTTGCAATATTGTCTAAGGCTTTCAATGCTGTCAACCTTTGTGCAAGGGGCGTTAGATGCTCTTTGAAATGTTCGTAAAAGAGCAAGCTTGACTGAACATGGACAAAAACGGACAGGATAAGCGTCATCTGAGTAATTAAGAATTACTTTGATACCGATTACTCCCCTTTCTAGTCCAAACTAGACTTTAAATTGCCCTGTATGTATTTCCACTCCCTCACCCCATGAGATCATGCCATTTATTAGCGGAGGAGGTTCGTCAATGCGAGCCGTCTTGGTGTTATCGATTGCCCTCTCTGGACAAGAAATTGGAGTTTCCATCAAAAGGACATACAAAGGGATAATGAAGGGATACTTTGCACAGAGTTCTTTATTAAGTGGAATACAAAGACATGACAGTTATTTATTAAAATCTTTTCCTATTAAAATATTTCTTGGTGTCATTTTAGAACAAAGTTATCCGTTTCATAGGTTGTAATTTTTAAATTTACATATAAAGAATCGCTGTCCTTTTTATGAATCCACGAAAAACAAAGAAAAAACGAATTCTCGAAAAACTTGGCAAATATGTGGACCTCGCTTACTTACTGTCACGTTTGCACTGCTAGTAGGAGTTGTCCAACCTCTTGTACTAAATGCTCTAGGTTTGGTACCCAATCTCAAGTTGTTGGTGGATTCTCAACTGAGTAAACTTCCTGTGAGCACCTATTGATGTGCCTAAAAAGCCTGACTGCGCTCGGATCAACCGAGACCTCTTTCCTGCATATTTGTATGTAAATCGTAACAACATACTGTATCCAGATGTCAAACTTGGAGTGCCGTCTATCCTTTTTCAAAATTTGCAATGATTTTTTTAACATCTTAAGTTTTAAACATTGATAAAGTTGCCAGTGAATCTCGAATTTGCGCGTTATATCATGGCAGAGTTACATGGTATATGATCGAGATTATTTTTGTCACTGCTTTAATGGTTTGTTTCCTTGTGGAACCAAACAATTGTTTTTCTCCCACATGCATGTATTCAGGCAACCCAGTGAAGCTCTCCTTTTGGGGCAAATTCATTTTTGTCAAGGTTTCTGGAACAATACCTGACCTATAACAGATCGTACTGTGAGGTCTCTCTTTGTGGAAACTACGTCTGTTTAAACTTCAAAACCATTAAAGTCTCACATCTTTACATAAAAGGAGGCGAATACATTCAAAACAACAGCTAACGTGTTTACACGCTAACTACGTAGAAGAAGATCGCTGACATGGCTAAAGTTAACACTGTTCTTAAAGACAAATAAAGATCTCCCGTGCCGCTTTCCGTTGATAACTTGATATTACACGGCTCGATGGCAATAGTTTCAACAAAGCTCTGATCTTGTTCTGTTCGCATGTGCTCGCCTTTAAAAACAGTCCCGAATTGCCTCCAACCGGAAGTCGTCTGTTGTGAAGACAAATTACTCCGCAAAAGAAGGTAGTCCTGCAAAGACAAATGAAACACATGAACGATCAGAGACCTTTACAATGGTGCTCATCAGTCGAAAACATCTTTCGATAAAAACGTGTCAGTCTCAGTTTTTCGAACGGAAAGTGCTGCAAGGTTAACAGAGGTCCATAAGCTTTCTTTTTGATGTATGACTTGAGTTTTTGTCACTTTGAATTTCCTATTTACAAGACTTAACGAGATAAGGGATTTCATTTTCCCATTTATGCCGAAAGCTGTTGCAGCAGCGTAGAGGGAATGTTCCTCATACAAAGGTTCCGAAGAGCGTTGTACAATTTACACAGCTTTAACAATTTTGTAGCAATCTCACGGTGAAAATGACTAGACACTAGAAATTGTCATCACACATTGTACCCATGTGTAGAATCGAACACAGGTCTTCTACGTGACGAGCAAACGCTTTAACCACTAGGCTACCCCATCTCCCATACAGTTACGTTCATTATAATGTTTGAGCGTAGACTTTCACACCATGACACCTTGCTTTCGGTTTATTTATGATACTAAATAAAAGCGACAAAAACATATATCTGTCATAAGAAATATCCAGTAGAGATACTAGAGATACAGACCAGTCAATATGTCTAAGTATATTTCAAGCAATTCTTCATGAATCACAATCAAATACAGATGATACGATTTGATTGCACAACGGTGAGCGCTAACTGGCCCTCAAACATAGAGAGGTATATCAATGGTTGATAATTATTTGTGTATTTACCTGCCATATTATTACCACCATCAATTACCAGAGATTGTTGTCCAAGTGTTCAGGAAAACAAACTGTAGAGCTCTTGTCGTCGACGACATGACATATACGGTAAGAAAACACAAGGGTAATATTATCTTTAACGCATTAGAAAAATAGTTCCCCATAGTCATTTAATATCTTCATCTAATACATTATAACGACATTCTCAGAATAACTGAAATTTAAGAAAAGTATACAATGAAATATTTTTTTCGAAATAGTGTCGGATAAAAATGCCTACGTGAACGTTCCTATTTAGCAAATAATGCATAAGATCGATGCGTTTCTCGGATTTCTTTGTTGCATAATACATAACGAAAATAAGGGTCTTTACTTGACTTGATTTCAATCTTAGAAAACCCCAACCAACAATTCGTCAAAGACAAGTGTGGCAGTACTTCCAGGTAAGGGATAACTTGGATATAGGATTGCAATAACGCTGGATATTTCACATTCTGCTTTAATCTGCAGACGGTGTGTGGATAGAGTGGCTGACCGGGGAGAGGATGGTCGGCGGTTCCATTCTAGGTCGCGTTATACCAAGGACACTCAAAGTTGTATTTGTATCTAGTGTTCGGCATTAAAATAAGGACTAGTTGGTTCGGAGTCAGGATACTTCTTGTAGAAGTAGTATGTTCGAGGCATAGCACTGCATTAGTCCGGACACTTAGTTGACGTTGCTATGTTTGTACAGTGACCCTGATTGAGGTATTAAACTCCAGTTTACGTTACGTCACTCCCATCCTGATCAAAGCTTACCCAGTTTGGAAACCGTATATTGGTTGTGACGATGTCGCATTGGTCATACACGTTATACTCACAAATACCTGTTAAAAGGTGAAGATTCTCCGGTTTTTTCCCTTGTGATGAGAGAGTCACGGTCAAGCATGTCCTGCTTGACTGTGCTGAATTCTCCATCATAAGTAACTTAGATTGTTAGTGGCTGTACCCTCAAAGGGGGTTGAAGTATTGAAAAATATTGTCCTCCTGAGAGGGTACGTAAGTCCCAAAACCTTCAAAGTTAAATTTAGACTTATCAGATATTTAAAATGCAGTATATTTGTTATTTTAACTGTCGGCTAAATTTTCCTACAATCGCCAGCCGCTGAAGGGATGGTGTAAATCCAACTAGGGTCCATGCAGGTAGCAAAAGCACTGTAAGTCCCCATGGTCCCTAGTATGGTGATCTACCTTCAGTTGTTGGCGACCTATGGCCCGTTTTTTATATTGTATTGTCTTCATAAATAAAATAGTTTTACATGTTCATGCTAGTTTTAGACTCCATCTGTGATACTGTAGTTATTTTACAGTCCTTCGATGAATGATTATTTAGCAACTTAAATTTATTGTTTATGTAAAACATTTCTCGTCACTTTATGGCTGAAATACTGCCGAGGTGACGTGAAATTTTAACTCACTCACTCACTTACCCATTTTGGGGTAGCACAGTGGCTAAAGCGTTCGCTCGTCATGGGACCTGGGTTCAAATCCTCACATGGGTACAACGTTTGAAGCCCATTTGTGGTGTCCCCTTTTGGAATACTGCTAAAGGCGGCCTAAAACCATACTCACTCACTCACTCAAAGCTTACCTCTGCGACGCTGAACTCCGTACCGCTGAGAACACCTGTGTTGGTGAGGAAGAAGGACAGGTCTATGGTGCGAAGTTTTCCTGCAACATTCAAACAACTATGTGTTGACGTTTGAAGAGCGAGTTAGTTGTCGGGTAGAACCAGAGGCTGAAGGCATGAACACCGCTGAACATATTCGACACACGCTCTCTCAGCCAGATGTGTTGCTCATGGTTGCCACTAAAGTCTAATCTTGGAATCACTGTTTGTCTGTTCTGCCCATAGGAACTCTTTGCCCAACAAATGTGGTAGACTAGTGCGTGAATAACTCGATCTTAGGACCCGTGAAGGTCCTGGTTAGAATTGATCTTCAGTAGCCCATGCTTGTCGTAAGAGGCGACTAACGGGGTCGGGTGGTCAAGCTCGCTGACTGGGTAAACACGTCATCGTATCCCAATTGTGTAGATCGATGCTCATGCTGTTGATCCCTGGATTGTCTGGTCCAGACTCGATTATTTACAGACCGCCGCCATATAGCTGTAATATTGCTGATTGAAGCGTAAAACTAAACTCACTCACTCACTCGATCTTAGCGCCCACAGTCCGGGTTCGATTCTGCACTTCAGTACAATTTGTAAAGCTATCTGGGGTTCCATACCGTGAAATTGTAAAATATCGCTAAAAGCGGTGCAAAGTAATATTCACTCAAATCAAAATCTGCAAGAACAATTTGGACAAAATAATTGTCAAACAGCCTATCGACGTGGTTTTTTTCATCGATTATCAAAATAACATCATACGATTTCGATGAGAGATTCGAACAAAGAATGACCTTTTTGTCGACTTTGGGGGCTGTGACTAGAAAACTAGAACTGAACAGATAATACACACGCACGTACTCTTACACGTGCACATACACGCCCACCATGTCGCTGTATTTATTGATCAGATTATCAATCAATCGCGAGTTTCCGCCGAAAAATGAAACTGATTTTATTTAGCGTGAAAGCCAAAATAGCGGAAATTATACACCAATACACCAGCTTAACTCTCTGGAATATTTACATGAATACATAACTTTTTACTTTCCAGTAATCGATCACCTACATACACATGACCTCAAACATATTTCTGCTAATAGGCATTCACTGGTAAATTGAAGCCGGCACAAATGTCATTGGTTCTTGTCTCGTATAAAGCAAAAGGTCGACGCCGATATCACGTTCTGACATTTAATCAACTCAGCTTATATAACACTGATCAGTAGAATGTAGGAAATAATGTTAACGGCAGTACATTTATCTTTCTGCTCTTTGATCCAGTAATGGATTCATCAGCATCAAACATTCTCGTGAAAAGCAACTCCACTTGCCATGAAAGCAAATGTGGGTGTAAATGATGGATGGATCACTGAAAACCTGGGATGACACCGGGTGTCTGGAAAAGGGAAGGCATATACTAGAACATACATGGTTGTACAACTCTCCGAGACCTACCATTGAGCTCCTGGACAACGAAACCATTCTTCCCTATGCCAAGGGTGTCCACCATGTTTAGCAAATCCTGAAAACATAAATGTAATCTCATTCTATAGTCTTCAAAGTGTTAGTGAGTTAGTTGAGTTTTAAGCCGCGCTGAATGGTATTCGAGTCATGTCACAGCGTGTCAGCTCAATGACGGAGGAATAACACCATTGATGAAGGTCTTTAGACCCGTACCACTTTGGTGAAGCCCGCGGCTAGAGGTATGGTGCTGCCAAACCTAATTAACCGGGCCGAACCGGGATTCGAACCCTCAATGATAGGTTTCTTGCATGCCCAAGCGTATAAACCCTGCACGGTGAGTCACAGCGCCCAGAAGACCTGTCCACCCGTGTATATGTCTTCCGATGCACAATTACACAGCAGATCATCTGCCAACACCACCCCCTCAGATATACGTCAATATTTAGATTTATTGAGAGACTTAACGCCATATTTGCCCGCTATTCCAGCTATAAAACCTGTTTTGTTGTTACTAAGCTACATTGACAACACTGACACATATTAAAAAACATATATTATTTTTTACCTATCATTACAAATGTGTAATTTGGTCACGTTGCTCGCGTTCTTTTTGAGGGAAGCTATTGTTCTGGTCGGGCACCAAGTAGAGTATTTTACGACTACTTCACTAGGCACACTGGCTCTAATTACACGCCCAACGCAAACCCTAAAACATTGCAACTGAGATCATCGTGATGAATGGTGTTGTACATAAAGTCTTTTCCTGGAATACCTTCGTCTTGCCGATCTTCGAGTCAGTGACAGTAACTGCTGATCTGAAAGTATAACAGTATGTCACTCAAAGGCACCTACTAGTATTTGATATGACGGGGACTGGGGCGGGCACCATGTGTGTGTAGTGTGTGCGTGCGTGTGTGTGTGTGCGTGCGTGCGTGCGTGCGTGCGTGTGTGTGTGTGTGTGTGTGCTTGTATGCGTGAGTTATGGGAGATAGAAGTATAAATGGAAAAGATTTTACTCATGTACAACAATGACTTCACTATGGAAGTGAGGGAGCTGGCAAGAATTAAGCACAGCGTTGGTGCGTGCGTGATTGTTTTACGCCAACATAGCCAACTATATCCTTATAGTCTGTGGGAAATTAATTCCCGCCGCTTACCACGATGTATAGACTGGCAACAGATAGTGTCTCACACACACACACACACACACACACACACACACACACACACACACACACACACACACACACACACACACACACACACACACACACACACACACACACACACACACACACACACACACTCGACCTCAGCATGGGCATAAACATCCTCCATCTCACAGATATAGTGATTGAATGTTGTTTTACGCCAGAGCCGGTCCCGCTCTGCCATGGTAACTTGAAACAAGTCTGGCATTAACAAAAGTAAATGCAATCCAAACATTCGAGTGACACTATGTAAACATTCACAAAACCCCGGGAGGCGGGAGACGTTTACATCACTAATGGCCCACTCTGGTTGAGTGTTATTCAGAGTTGACTATACATTTTGTCCTGAGTTAATTACATATAATCATAAGTAAACACACGAAATTGAACATTCTGTGTGCGTGTTTGTCGTTCAACCCGCACTTAGTGTTATCCCAGCTACACGAGGGAAGTCCGTTGATAATAGAGTCTGGACATCTCTTCCCAGGATCAATCAAGTCATCCAGTGTAACAACCTTATCGGTAAGCCTCTTCTAACCAGATAAACGACCAGTTCGTGAAGCCAAGACGGTGTGTGTGCCTGTGCTACTCCTGACTAGACTAGGTCACCTACATACGACGTACATTGGGGTCATGTTATTACTATATCGAAGATTCAAGATACTTACCCACAAAGTACAGCTAATTCGCCGAAATATCTAGGTCCTTATTTGCTAATTCAGGGTAATACATTTAACATTTAAGAAACTTTCTGACAATTTAAGTCGTCCTTTTGAAAATTGAAGTTATTAAATTTTGAATTAAATATAAACTGATGTTAGAATGTAAGTTTCCACGGCTTAAATTTCTGTTTTAAACTGTTGCTGTTTCAGAATAAGAGCTCCTATTTCGAGGTAAAAAACATAATAGTTTGTGTCCCCAATGGGTATCCGTACATAAGAGCTGAGCGTGTGGGAAGAGTTGACTATACTGGATCAGGAAGTCAGACTCTGTAACTTGAATGTCACATCACTGTATATCGGGGGGGAGCGGTGGTGGTATGCCTCATCCTGGTTCAGTTATCAGCGAATGCTTGAGGACAAACATGTGTTGGTAAATAGCGGTAACAAGAACTAACATCTGACTTTACTTATATTACGGAATTGGAATGTTGGGTCCAGAATCGATTCGTACAAGTTCCCCGTACAAAATATACCAACTCGTTTAAATAGGTTGATACAATTAGTATTGATTCTGTTAACAACTGAGGCGGTGGGGTAGCCTAATGGTTAAAGCGTTAGCTCGTCACGCTGAAGACCCGGGTTCGATTCCCCACATGGGTACAATGTGTGAAGCCCGTTCTGGTGTCCCCCGCCGTGATGTTGCTGGAATATTACTAAAAGCAGAGTAAAACCAAAACTCACTCACTCACTGTTAACAACTGTACTGATGTTGATGCTGTACAAAGCCAAATGATATGTTCCATTCAGTTAGAGTGATTTGCTGTACTTGGAAGTTCATGCCAGAGGACTTGGCCCCCCTCAGTAAAACTTCAAACACTATAGGATGATGTTCGAGTTTGGGGGCAGTAAGTTGTTGAGAGGAAACAGCAAGGTCCTTACTTCATGCTGGAATGTCTGAAACTAAGTGATTTGCTGTGTCTGGGGGTTCATGCCAGAGAACTGGACTTGCCTTAGCATACTTCCTGACCTTAAAAGATGATGATCGAGTTTGAGGGCAGTTAACTGTTGAGAGGAATGTGTATCTGGTGGTCAGGTTACGTCATCTGGTACAGTGCGTGTCATTCCACCCCAACCTGGGCGCTGCTCACATTATCGGTCACCAGATAGTCTGGTCCAAGTTTCTGCAGGCTGTCGTCATATATACTCATGCCAATAATGGTTGTCACCCCCTCCCCACCCCAACCCACCACACACACCACACCCCACACCCCCTCTCCAATAAAAAAAATTGAAGGGGGTGACAACCATTATTGGCATGAGTATAGATAGAACATGACTATGTGTTTAAACAATTTACATACCTGAAATCAGAAACTCCGAGGTAAAACAGTCTGTCGTTAAACACAACTTTAATTGCAATGTCCAGTTCCTGAAAAGGTAAAATATGTTTTGGATAAGGACAATGCGGTGAACATATTTCTTACGGTAAATTTTAAGAAAAACGTCATGAAAAATTCGTATCTCATCTGACTGTTATCCCAAGGCTGTCAAGGCGAATGCCCTGAACAAACATTTGGATGGATCACCATGTTGAATAACACTGAATGCTGCGGAAGTTGACTTGAAAGCTGTAAATACGGTGTCGCGAAACGTGCCCGTTATAACAGACTGTTGACGTCAATGTGGTTGTTCCTGCTGCCACCCCTGCTATATATACTAATGATGGATGTGATGTCTGGATGTATGTCTCATTATAGCAGGTGCCTGTCCAGCACTTCATGACTCGTTGTTGGTGGAAATATACCATCCTATAGCCATGTCTATATACCAGCCTATAGTAATATATATACTGATACACATAGCGGCGGAATGTCCGATTTCGGTAGAAGTCCGGATAAGCAAGGTTATAAAGGAAAAGGAATAGGGCGTAAACATAATACATATTAATCAGGTTTTGTGATGGCTTAGGGAACTGCACAGAAAATTGTGGCACCTTTCAGCACCTGGGATTTGAGAATAACACCTGCGACATATATAAACGACATGTTTAGATCTAAAGTGCACTGTGGTTGTCACGTGACTTGAACATCGTGGCCTGATAGGTCGAGCCGAACTGTATGTAAGAGTGTCTAAAGATACGGCTTAATAAAACACGAACCAGGAAGACGTAGCACCTGACTACAGGTAATTGATGATAGCATTGTAAGTTGCGCAGTTCCTGTAACAACAAAAAACATGCACCCATAGACAAGATGTTGATAGAGTGTGGGATTTGCTGGCTTTGACGGTTTCTTACCACTTCCAGAGAGAAGAGAACATGGTCACCACATGAAGACGAGACTGTGTAATTCATCTTTGCTGCGACTGCTCTCAACATGCCCTCTCCATCCAGTGTTATAGGGCCTGCTGGTTCATCAATCGTGAAGACACCTATGTAACCGGTCTCCCCTTGTAGGATTGACGCTGCCTGATGGAAGAACAGTGATATGTGGTAACGTTAATATTGAACAAACGTTATTGATAACAATTTCTTCTATTTCGTGAGTACGACGTTTCGATAGAAGTTCGCCTTGAGCAAGCACTAGTTGCCTGGATATGTGCGCTATATAAATATCATATAATAATAATAATAGAGGTTCTTATACCGTTGTCAAGCAGGAATCTATAACGAAGAGTCGCACTCACGAAATAGGAGAAGTTGTTTTCCAAAAATGTTCAAAAAACTTTTAGAATGCCACTCAAAGAAGGTGATAACGTTAGACCGTTTGTTTAACCTGTACCCAGCAATATTCCACGTATGTGAGCTGGACATATCAACTGTGGGCAGTACAAACTCGCGATATAACAAGAGAAATGTTTCATTAGGTCGAGAAGACTGGAGTGTGGCATTAAACAACAAACACGTCTTTACCCCGAAACTTCTGTTTTAGGAATTTAGTGAAGTTTAAACCTATTGGTTATCCCCACAGTTCACTGCAGAAGGAATGCAACTGACTGCGCCACAAAACAATCTTTAACCACTGACATCAGTTTAGACCTACCTGTTCGAAATAGGATCCTAGATTCCGAATGTTGAACCGGAAGTTGCTTATTTCAAGAAACTGCAAAGAAAACAGAATAAACTTAAGAAACGGATACCAAAAATACACCCGTAAAAGTCTGGGTATGTACAGATCTCCTTATCGTGACCATCCTCCTCGCTCGCTGATTCATCTCATCGTAACCTTATTGCGTAGACCTTATCGTGACCATCCTCCTCGCTCGCTGATTCATCTCATCGTAACCTTATTGCGTAGACCTTATCGTGACCATCCTCCTCGCTCGCTGATTCATCTCATCGTAACCTTATTGCGTAGACCTTATCGTGACCATCCTCCTCGCTCGCTGATTCATCTCATCGTAGCCTTATTGCGTAGACCTTATCGTGACCATCCTCCTCGCTCGCTGATTCATCTCATCGTAACCTTATTGCGTAGACCTTATCGTGACCATCCTCCTCGCTCACTGATTCATCTCATCGTAACCTTATTGCGTAAACCTTATCGTGACCATCCTCCTCGCTCGCTGATTCATCTCATCGTAACCTTATTGCGTAGACCTTATCGTGACCATCCTCCTCGCTCGCTGATTCATCTCATCGTAACCTTATTGCGTAGACCTTATCGTGACCATCCTCCTCGCTCGCTGATTCATCTCATCGTAACCTTATTGCGTAGACCTTATCGTGACCATCCTCCTCGCTCGCTGATTCATCTCATCGTAACCTTATTGCGTAGACCTTATCGTGACCTTCCTCCTCGCTCGCTGATTCATCTCATCGTAACCTTATTGCGTAGACCTTATCGTGACCATCCTCCTCGCTCGCTGATTCATCTCATCGTAACCTTATTGCGTAGACCTTATCGTGACCATCCTCCTCGCTCGCTGATTCATCTCATCGTATTGCGTAGACCTTATCGTGACCATCCTCCTCGCTCGCTGATTCATCTCATCGTATTGCGTAGACCTTATCGTGACCATCCTCCTCGCTCGCTGATTCATCTCATCGTATTGCGTAGACCTTATCGTGACCATCCTCCTCGCTCGCTGATTCATCTCATCGTAACCTTATTGCGTAGACCTTATCGTGACCTTCCTCCTCGCTCGCTGATTCATCTCATCGTAACCTTATTGCGTAGACCTTATCGTGACCATCCTCCTCGCTCGCTGATTTATCTCATCGTATTGCGTAGACCTTATCGTGACCATCCTCCTCGCTCGCTGATTCATCTCATCGTATTGCGTAGACCTTATCGTGACCATCCTCCTCGCTCGCTGATTCATCTAATCGTATTGCGTAGACCTTATCGTGACCATCCTCCTCGCTCGCTGATTCATCTCATCGTAACCTTATTGCGTAGACCTTATCGTGACCATCCTCCTCGCTCGCTGATTCATCTCATCGTAACCTTATTGCGTAGACCGATGCTCATGATATCAATCACTAGAATGCCTGATTCGATTATTTACAGACTGCCGACATATAACTGAGGGCGGCTTTCTGAAACAAACAATAACATCCTAGATGTCTCTGTAATCTGGGGGCGGTGGGCTAGCCTAGTGGTTAAAGCGTTTGCTCATAACGCTGAAGGACCGGGTTCGATTCCCCACATGGGTATAATGTGTCAAATCCCATTTCTGGTGTCCCCCCGCCGTGATGTTGCTGGAATATTGCTAAAAGGGCGTAAAACCATACTCACTCACTCTTTAATCTCGAAAACATGAAATCGTGCTAGTGGTCAGCTAAACCGGATAATGAGTTAATCCAGACGACCTGTCCGGTACAGTACAGTCTATATTTACGACTTTTCAGTATACAGAGTAAAATATTGTTCAGTTACGTAAAAAAGTCACAAATGCGCATTTGGGATCTCAATATTCGGATGAAGATGCAGCCAAGGTTGACATCGTTTACGTGTCACAGCCTAATATAAAATGTTAGGGGTATAGTGTACGAATAAAGGTGATAACATAATTTGATAATCATATATTCTGACTCCCATCATTTTCAGATCGGAAAATTAGATGTCAATTATTCATTTCTTTCATAGGAAACACGAGCTTTTGGCATGGCGAGTGAGAACATTAGTCTTCTTTCAGTTGGGAATTAAATAAATCATTTAGATTTCAATAAAGTATTATAAAAAGGGTCACGTGGAAATTCCCTATATGACTGCGGGCACAACATCCAGACAACATACAGGAAGGCGACAAACTCGATCATGGTTACATATGCATGTGCTCATTAATCACTATCAAGTTGTCATGAAAACATGATTTGTAGGGGGAAAGTATGGAATCCTACAAGGGACATCGTCGCCCTCTCAAAAACAAGTAAAGTGAGGCAAAATAAACCAAAACGCGACACGCGACATCGCGACAACTCGACAATGTCCCTTCCAGGATTCCATAGGAAAGGGTTCGTGTTGCGCTCTGCTGTGGCTCACGTCACAAGCACATGCAAACGCATGTCAAATGTTCACCTTAAAAGTGAGTGAGTTAATATTTCTGATCACATCGGCAGTAGTTCAGCTATATAGTGACCAAAACAATACAATCATGACACATAAATCGAGAACATAAACATGTAGAACTACATTAAGCACACCCAGAAAATCACTTTCCCTGAAAAAAAATTGAATACGTGGTTCAAGTTAGAATAGGAATTGCATAGGACTACTAAACTGCATCACATCACGTCGTCACGTCATGTCACGTCACATCACATCACGTCACATCACATCACATCACCTCAGCTTGACTTGCCTCCATGATGCCTGAAATTCTGTTCAAAGTGGCGTCAAACAATACTCAACAGGAATTTCCGTAATGATGGAGTCTAGAACAGACATTCCAGTGATCCGCGCTGTCGGGCTATTGTAACACTATTGCTTGTGCACACTTGTCAGCGATATGTCTTCACACGTGTCAGCGATGTGTCACTCACAGCTAAACAAAATATGGCCACCCAGGTACAGCACGGCCATGAGAATTGCCGACTAATCAAAACATGGCCCCCAGGGCAGATCATGCCAGTGGAACTGTTGACTAGTCAAAAATGTTGCAAGCTAAGAAAATTGTTTATCATTTATGTGCATATAAAAGCAGGGAGGATAAACCACAGCCGGCAGACAGCGGGAAGGGCATGGACAGACCAGCAGAAGAGGCAAACCTGGGACTTGAAGGGACGAACTGACCAGCCAATCCAGCCATCTACTGCCCAAGTGTCAACCTTACCTAGTTGCCTTCCCCTGGTAGCCTCTGCCGGACTCTGCAAATTGTGTACTAGGTGTTCGCCCTATTTCACAAGTGTACTCAAGAAATAAAGCTACCATTCTTTGTACGACGCTGCGTCTCTTGTTGACTCAAGTCCTCCCCTGGATGTGTTTTAAGGATTCTTTTGGTGACGTGACCCGGATAAAGCAGATTGAGGATTCTTCTCCCAAAGTGCGGACAGGAGCCCAAGGTTGAAGTTGGAACCAGATCAACTCGGGTAAGTCGCCCAGTTGTTCACTATATCCTCATATTTCCAAAATGGCCGGCCAGGATTTGGGTGAATTTCGCTAGGGGATAGCTGGGCAGATAACGGGGCAACTAACGCAAAGTATTTCCCAAATAGTTAAACCGTTTGAGGGGAACCCCAAGAAATACAAAGAATGGATCAAGAATTTAGAAAAGTATGAAGTACTAACCAACGCTGATCAGGATAGAATTAAACTCGTAGCATACCCGTCTAGTACAGGGGCGGTTAGCGATTTCATCCATCGGTATATCAATGATCATGCTCAGGCAACCTGGGAGGAACTCAAGTTGGAACTGGCTCGTAGATTCGCGGAAATAACTGACCCTCAACATGCCTTCATGATTCTGCGAACAACTAAACAACAATCAGGGGAGAGTGTTCAGCTCTTAGCCGTAAGGTTACTTAACTTGGCAGAAGAGGCGTACGCAGGGCTAGAAGGTCAACAGAAAGGGTTAGCAGTAGAACGGCAACTTGTAGGGTTTTTAATTGATGGACTGGCATATGACTCTCTGAAAATGAAGGTTGTGCGGGAGAAACCACCAAATTTAGCCACAGCAGTTACCAGCGCTAACAAAATCTCAGGGCAAGGTTCAGTCTACGTGTAGGAAGGACGAAGGCCAACTATAATGACAGGTCAGGGGACGAGCCAATGGAGGTAGACCACCTCCGGAATAAAAAATGCTTTAGATGTGGGGGGCAGGGGCATAGAGCAAGGGACTGTAGGGTGCAAGACATCAATGCAGTAAACAATGATGAAACTGACTTCCACGCCCAAACAAAGCTGTGCTGGGTGTGCAATCAGGCCGGACATGTCAAACGGGATTGTCCCAATAGGGTTAACCAGAGACAAAGTGATAGTTCCCTTAAATAGGAATCAGCGTTATCGTTCAGAAACAAAGCAACATTTAAACTAGAATCTCTTCCTCATATAAAAGCCGATGCGGAAGAGGGCAAGCCAACATACACAATCAATCTGGCAGGTAAGCCTAGTTCATGTCGCATAAAAATTGGAAAACAACAGTATAGATGTTTAATCAATTCCGGCGCAAAAGTATCAATCATAAACATGCATGTATTTCAAAGCTTGATAAGAATGTATGAACTTAGTAGGAAGAAGGTTTCACTGCAATCAGTAAATGGAAATGGTTTGGTAGTACATGGATGTGTAAACATCCCATTTAACATGAGAGGAATGGCCATGACCCATCTGTTCTATGCAGTAGGGAATATGAATAGGATCGTTATTCCAGGAAGGGATTGGCTGCATCAAAATGGTGTTTGACTATACTACGATTTAGGTAGCCTAGGAGTATGAAAAATGTATGTATCCTTGGAGCAAGACATCCACATCGCAACAATCATCAGGTTGTCAAGAGACACGGGACCGGGATTGATGGTTGGGAATTCGTTGGCAAGATTGAAGAAAGACAGGGCTGTCCCAGTGATGATTGTAAATAACACCAAACAAAACCTGAAAACCTGAAAACTGAAAAGGGGTTGTGCAGTGGGATCTGAACTCTGTTTTAGAAGAAAATCTTA